AAAAAGAAAAAACAATTTCATTGTTTTTCTGTATGAATTTGGTTGGGACAAGGACTCAGGGCTCCCCTCTTCTTCTTTTTTTTCTTTTCTTTTTTTGCTGCAGTAATTTCTGCGTGGAGTGCCCCTCCCTGGGGTCTGTCAGGAACAGTGTGTGCCTGTGGCCAGTAATTGATAATGCGGCCCAGGCAGCCCTAGCCCTGGTCAGTGGAGCGTGAACTAGCCTGAGAAGCAGAGAGGCTGAAGTGCACTGAGGTGAAGCTTAGCCCTTACACTCTCTGTCTAGGGTATAGGAGCAGGAAAGGTGGGGGCAGGAGGTGAGAGCCAAGAAAGGCAGACGGAACAAAATCCATTCACACTGACAGGATAAACAGAGCCTATTCATTTGTTCAACATTTACATTTTACAAAATTATCTGACATTCACATCAAGAAATACTAACCCCAGTCGAAGCTGTCGAATAACCTTGGTTTTCTTAGAAAACAGGATTTACGTGCAAACACATGTAAAAAGGTCAGAGGGTTTTTTTCCCTACTATAACTTGAATGCTTATGCAAGAGTGAAGTACACAGAGAAGCAAAAGAAATGGAATAATCACCAAGGACTGTAAAAGATGACTTAGTTGAGAGAGGGTGCCATTTGCTGCCTTTTGAACAGAGGAGTTATTCAGCAAGATGTGAGTGGAGACCAGGTGGAGTGATGACTAGGCCTCAGCGAGCAGGCCAAGAGCCAAGTGGCTGATAGGTGCACAATGTAGAGCATGGGCTTGTGTGGGGCTGTATTTATGCCTGCAAACATGGGGGTGAGGATTTCTTTCCAGGACTATATGAAACACCAAGGCTTTGAACTTACATGAGCAGTAGGCAGAATATATTTTATAATCAAAGTCACTTGTGTCTTCACAAATTGGTTTGATGAGTAACTCTGGTTTAATTCATCCTTTAACTTTTAATTAGAGTCCATTATAGCAGCTTGAATTACTTTATGATGATGGAGTTAAATCTGGGGCATATTTATGTATGTCATTCCAGAAACTGATTTGTGCATTAAAGCTAAGCAGTCTAATTTTTTATTGAATAATTTGTGCTGCTTTTGCTTAAAAAGAAAAGTTTCCTCCTGGATCACAGATTGATGCATTTTACAGAAATAAGAAAACACATCCTGGTGCATCATTTATTAAGAGTCTGACGCTCAGCAGCTCCAAAGTTGTGAAAGAGCAACTACATGTTTGGTCAAAATAAAGTTTTAAGTTGTGTCTTAACTTTCTGATCTTTTGTGTTATTTCTGTGCAAATGAATGCAACTTTACAGCTTAAACAGATTTACAGTATCTACAGTGGGATATATGGATGTGCAAAGTAAAATGCAGCATATGCTCACTGTTTCACTTTGCAGCACAGGCTTCAGTTACTGCAGCCTTGTGATTTGTGCCGTAGTCCTTGCTGCACTCTCTGCAGCACAAAGACAGCTAAATAAAGAGGGCTTGGCTTCTTATTGCTGCTTTGATGCCAAATCCAGCTGAAACAAAATGTGATTATTACATATGTTATTATATTATAATTCTCCGCATGTTACAAATTGAAATATTAAACTTTGTGGCCTCAGTGTCCAAGCACAGCTCTGATTGATCGTGTCACAGGTAATAGCCTATCAGGAGCTCCATTGCCACATGACTGATCTGTCCCATTACAGCACAAGTAATCAAATCTTTACCGTTTTCTTTTAATCCTCCCCTAATTTCTGATTCAGACTTCTGTGTGGAGCCTTTATAAAGCCTATAACTTAACTTACATTATGGCAGACATGGTTGGCTACATTTATGCGTGTGTATGGTTACACATTAATCACCGTGCTGGAAGCGTATAGAAAAAACACGAAATGTTGGGACATTTTTTCCCCCTCTGGGTATCCGGTCTTAATGGGAGGATTCAATGGCGCTACACTGGCCAATTACAATAGTTACAGGTCACATCGACCTGACGTGTAGTTACATTTCTCGAGAGGTGCGTGTCAGGTTATGTGGAAGGTTAGTGTTAAAAAGGGTTTCTGCTTACGACGTAGGTTTCCCGCAGAAGTCTAAATCAGACATATCTGGCATGAAAAGACATTGTGGTAGCCTTTGGCTTGATTCTTTGAGCTATTCTTTCCATCTGTTACCAGACAGAAGCACAATGAGACTCTTCTGTCCTGTCTTTCTTGAAACCTGAAGTAGTATTTCATTTTGCTCTGGGCTCGTTTGTTTTTTCCCCCACACAGAATTCCAGACCTTTGGAAAGTAAGCTCCAGCCAGAGGAAGGCAAAATGGGTCCCATGTGGACCAAAAGAAAGAAAACCCCCAAAGCTTACAGTCAATGTGACACTGTTTGTGATATTTAAAGTCTTAATGGGATTACATAAATTAATACTACAAGCGGGAGTAAGAAAAATCATTGTCAAAGTAGCTTAGATACTGCATTCAGCAACAACACGACACAGATTCGCTAAATAACAGCAGTGACAAAAATAGTAAAAGAAGTAATACTAAGCAGTAAGACAACCTGAGGGACACCGCATCAGCATGCGACACCTTTTTTATTTTAAACGGTAAAAATAGGATTTAATTTAATTTCAGTTCAATTCATTTTACTTCACACTTGTAGTCCATATAGATTAAAAACATGCTTGCAGCTGATCAGATCCCGCTCTGGTTCACACAGAGGTCTTATCTTGAATTTAAAAAAATGTCTTCTTAGACTTTCATCTAACTTAAATTCAAAGATATAACACAGCACGCAAACATAAGCGCAGGCACATCGGCATGCACACACAGCGCAAGTTTTATCAAGTTTTATTTATAATACAATCTCCGAGCAACATGTGAAGCATGAAGAGGAGCACAGATGATAGCGGTATGACAGTTGCAGAGGGCAAAAAAATATGAGATGAGCAGGAAATTGCTTACTGTCGGGGTTAATTGACAGCCCGTGTGTGTGCGTTCAGGTGTACTTGGGCTGAAGGATGGAATATACGGTGGAGCTGGGTCAAAACAATCACGGTACTATAGTGATTTGATTTTAAAGGGTTTCATTACATGAAAAAGATGCAGTTCATATGCAAACAGGGGCATTGTTTGTATTGACTCCGTCTTGAATATACTGGCTGGGTGCAAAGCTTGCTTTTTTTCCCTTTCTGCTCTATAATTTGGTTCACTAGGACATCACTGATACTGATATCGCTAATAATAGAGTATACTGTTGCAAGTGAAAAAAACAACAAACAAAAAAACCCAAATCTTTTGGAATTACCAAGATGTCTGCATTGATTAATCATAATATGAAATGCACGAGTTTCGTATTTATTTACACAGTTGAGCAGAAGATACAAATACTGTTATGCATGATAGGAAAGAAGCCAGTAAGGGTTTTACAGGACTCACCTTTTCAAATGCAACAAGCAAGTGTACAAGAAATCAAACAAACACAATCTATTTGTATATAATTCAACTAAATGAAAAAGAGAAAACTCATAAATGGTCCCAAGACTTTTTCCTTAATAACACAAAAACTGATTAAATGAATAATATAAAATGCAAAGTGATTTCTACTGGGTCTATTTTCAGTATGTATTATGTTGGACGTAACAGCTGCTTATGCAGAAAATGCACAATTTCCCTCGAAGCTGATGGTTTTGTAATGACCAGATTTTCATCAGTCAATGTTTTTTACTCAAACCTGACTGAATGAAAACATCTGACTTTAAATTCACTGCTGTGGGGTCACATACTGACTCACTCATTTATAATAATGGTTCAATTTCCTGTATGAATAAGTGGCCAAGTATGATAATTTTGTCTCATCAGTTTAATGATTTTAAGCCTTAAGTGCTTTTTTCTTTAAAGGCAAAAGTAATAACGTGTATTTACAGTGTTATCGCTGTAATATGCCTCGGCAGTCCTCACAATAACTTGTGATGCAAATTGTGAATTAATATAAAAATATTTTTACAGAACATAAGATTGATCAGTATAAAAATGTGCAATATTTTCATTTTTTTATAACCCAAAGGTAGCAAAGACACTCAGTGTCTGTTTTATTTAGTTTTACTACCTATACTCTCACTGAATTTTCAGGAAAAAAAATGTTTATGAAATTTAATAATGACAGAAATGAAAACAAGTTGATGTTTAAGTTTTTAAGTCTAAGTTAACACAACTGTGTGAATGAGTAGTCGTGAAAGAAAAGGGAGAACTGATCCAGTGCATCCTGTAGAGGCTACACTCATGCTCCTGAATTCTCTGCCCATCAGCGGACAAAATCTAACACAATGGTAGCGGGACACTTGCCAGGCTCGTGGTGATGGACCATTCTGGTAGCCAGAGTCCTGCTCGCTCGGCCCAAGTCCACGCCCACAAATCTCGGCCAAAATTGGCAGATCTGTTTTGGCTAAAGCCAGTTTATATTTGGTCCTGCGGTGCCAGAATATGGCAGAGAGCAGGCCTAATCGCTCTAACTCAGCTGCTTACCTGCTTACTAATGAGAGAGGCAGTTGCACTGTTTAAGCCGCTCGGACTCTGAGAAGCATACTGATGGTGAAATAGTTCAGTTTGTATTTGTGCAGCAGCGTGATGTTTTATTTGCACATGTACAGAATTCAAAAGTGCACTATTTTTTAAAACATAGACCATCATGTTTGAAAGTATTTGGATTGAATTATTGAACTAAATGCACTAAAGCAAATCCCCTAACTTTAGAGAAAGCGCTCTGCTTTTGAAGCCACATTTTCTAACTTCACCTCCAGGTTTCATGAAATTGAGCCTTGAGGACAGACAAACATGCACAGAACTGAGCAATTCAGCTGTTTAGTCAGGCTACCCTTGCTCACCAATCTGTTTAATTATCTTGAATTTGAGTATTTTTGAATAACCACCTACAACCAACAAACACTTGTGGGCGAGAAACATGTGTAATTAAAGCCGGTTATTATAGAAATGCACTAATTTTGTCTTACTTGTTCTGTCTCCTCCAGCTCCTTCAATAGTTCCCATCATGCACCAAATCAGCTCCACCATGAATAGCTTCACACTCTCATGGCCTCAACCAGAACAGCCAAATGGCATCATCCTCGACTACGAGCTACGCTACTATGAAAAGGTAAGTGTGTGTGTGTGTGTGTGTGTGTGTGTGTGTGTGTGTTTCTGTAATGGCTGAAGTTCTTTTACTCGTGTCGTCTACTCTGCATATTCAACTGCATATAAATCCGCCCAAAAACCAAAGCTCTCCTTGATATCTCTGAGCTGAGTCCCCCTGGGTTGATAATATGTTCTTTCGCTGTGTTCACTCTGCCTCTCCCACTGTTCTTTGGTTTCGGCTGCTGATGAAGCGAATAGTTTGACCTCTGCTCCAGGCCCACTCTGCGTAGTGCAGCAACCTGTCCCACTGTGAAAATGCATTGCATCTGGAGGGAGTCACATCGACCCGTCTGCTCACACACAATACGTCTGCTTTATTAAGTCGCCAGTCCTACCCCACGGAGCCTCTGCTGCACAAGTATTGACCTGTAGGCTTTTCCCAAGGCCTTGAACATAATGATACTGAGAGATTGGAGACTTTAGCTTTTTTGTTTGGGTCCTTGTTTGTCCTCCTCAAGCTGATCGATAGGTATAGCAAAGTTGGTTGTGCAGTTTTTTTTTTCTCTCCAGTCCTTGTCATCCTAAGCTAAGATTTGGTGCACCTTCACTCATGTTCTGCTTTTCAAATAAAAGATAAAAAATCAATATAGTTTTATCAATGTTTTTTTTTTATTCTTTTTGTGTTGAGTTATTTACTTCACACAAACTCATTTTGGCTAAGGCTTTGCGATCAATATTCACAATCCCACCTTAGAATAGTTTTGTCACATTTAGCATTTTCTATCAGAGAGAACAACAATCATGTTTTTAAATAGTGTTTGCAGTTGGACACTCAGTTATCCAATATTAGCTGCAGCGCTTGCTGTTTTCCCCTCTGGCATTGCACAGGTCATGAAATTGAATCTGATTGCGATGGCCCTGAGAAACCTTATCTGCCAGACAGCTTAGTGTCGTGTAAATAACACTTATACAGCCCCCCCCCCCCCCCCCCCCCATTAGCTCATGAATATCAATGAAACCTAATCCTATTGATGTTTATGCAGTGCATCCTCACACAAATAGACGAGCACTGCGTAATCACAAATTAGTGAATTAACAAGGACAAGGTTGCTAATTGTACTGGGATAGCTCAGGTGACAGAGAGGTTGTACTCGACCCTGTCTGGCTCAGTCTTAATGCACCTACATATACCCCTATGTTTTTGTGTCTATCTGGAAAAATACTTCCCCGTGTGACTCTGAGTAAGACACAGAAGGAGAGTCAGAGTGATTGCTTTGTGACACACTGGGCTGTGAAGATGAGATTTCCACTACGGTGGTCCTCTTCTGACAAGCTGTATTTTGGATCTGACGCAGCTTTTTATAGGTTCTGAACAGACACTTCTTCAGCCAGCCCTGGCTGTCCAAAGTGTCAGTGTAGATGTGTTTTTATGCCTGATTAAGCACCAACCAACCAAAAGTGCAGGTGGTTGAAGTTTTTGGCCAAAAGAATCAAATGAAGCTAAATGGATTGAAGTGTAATTTCCCAGCCTGCTAAATTTCCCTATGCACATAAGTGCGTAATGCCATGTAGATTCTCTCTGTCACACACCTTGGCATGGCTTTCTCGTGAGTTTATCTTCCTTGCTTTCTTGCCCATTCTGCTGTAAAGTGATGATGTGGCCTTTTGAATATGAGAGTAGTAACACTGTTATGGTTATGGAGTTGATTTTCTCAGTGTGCCTGCCACAGTCAGCTAGTCCTTAGCACAGCAAAGCATGAGCTGTCTTTCTGCAAACTCCATCTCCCCGGGAGCCACATATAGTCACTGACAATGGCAACTTCTCTAACAGCATGGCATTGTCACATTTTGTGTTGAGTAATACTTCAGGTTGTTCATAAAGGAATGATCTACTTCTCTCACAACCTCGTCATAGTACTTGTTCGATACAAGTTTAGTTCTTGTACGCAGGTTTGATTGTTTGCTGTTTTGTTTTTTCTGTGACAGTGCAATACAGAATGTCATATGCAACAGTGATTGGACTGGTTCTTGATCATTTTTAAAGGGAGATATACATGCAAGGAAAAGTACATGCTCTGTGATGTTGTCTGCTGAGCCACCAGGACACCCTCTGGGGCTACAGGACTCAGGCTTAAAGCATGTCTGCTTTAAGTCACTCGCTGGAAAAGCTAAAAAAAAAAATGTAGTCATGCTGTCAGTGAAGCAGAATGTTTGCACAGATCTTTAGGTATTTCCTTCTTTATTTTTATTTTAAAATAACTGCTTTTGGGAAAGAAATGTCTCAATTGCACCGATGTCCCATATACAATACTGTGGAAAAAGTTTCGAGCCACATTATTCTAAATTTAAAACGTTTTTGAGCTTTAGAAATAAGTGGCAGCTTTTTCACTCATTTCCAGTACCGGTACTTGTACCTGACAATTTTCTGAGGAATGTTTTTGTTTGTTTGTTTAAGCTACTCGACACTGACCTGTGAATCATTCAAGCATAAAAAAGGCAACTAACTCAAGGGATGAACCCGTGTTGTGTTTACACATAACAGACAACTTAGCAAAGAACCAATTTTTAAATTACTAGCAGCGCTTCGCCAAAAACGTATAATTTGTTCCCATTTCTTTAGTTGAATCTGTAAAAAGTGACAGTTTGACAGTGATTAAATATTTTTCGCATCAACGGAGTGATTCCCAGAGGTATTATCTGAAAAGTTGGCATATCTTGGCATGGTGCGCAGTTTATCTTTAAATATGCTGAGGAAAATGAACAAGTGCAGGACAAAAGAAGACGTAGCAGGCCTAAAAACAAGCTGCAGCAGCTGAACAGTATCTGAAAATCACATTCTTAAAAAGTAGGAGGAAAAATTCAGGTGAAAGATGCATCTGGTCCTTCAGTTTATCCTTCTACTGATTGCCGAGGTCTCATTAGTGAAACGGGGAAACAAGGCTGAGTTGTGCCAGATTACAAAAGAACTGGACTAAAAAACAGTGGTAACAGGTTTCATGGAGTGATGAATCCAAAGAAACTGAGTGGAAAGCTAAGAGAGTTCAGGCTGTGTTGAAGCAGAAAGGTGCTCAAAAACTCTTCTTTATGCCTTATGAACTGTTTTTCCGTGTATGTTTGCACATTTCATTTAATGATAAGCAACATCACTAAACGAACAACTTAATATTTATCATTTCTGAAAATGTTCTGCTATATAAAATGTTAACAGTAATGATAATCGTAAAGCTGCAGAATAAGTCCAAATTTTCCATATATAGTAGAACTGCAGTTTAAGCTGTAGCTGCATATATAAAGCTGTTGGAAATGACTGCATTTTGACAATTTCACTTGAAACCTCAAGAAAATGCTGGAGGCTGTTCTCTCAACAGGCTTCGCTCACTTCTTCAACCTACCTTCTCATTCCAGAGTAAGCGGTCTCAGGACTCTGTAAATTGGGAAGCAAGATTAAATGAGTCGAAGATTTGTTGAGAAAAAGTAGAATCGCATGCTCTCGTTCTCTCCATTTTTCTCAGACCCCTTTTCCTCTGGTTGCCTGAAAATTTGGGGAGGGTGGAAATAACGCAGCGTAGCGGAGGTCAGGCCCTCCATTAAGGCTGGAGCGGAGCAGCCACCGGCTCTGGTTACTGATTGCTCTGCTGGTGTCAGAGAGAGGATGTGTGTGTGTGTGTGCCGGGATCTGTGTGTGAGCGAGTGTCAGTGTTTGCGTGTCGGCAGCAGTCCAGGTGTATCCATTCTGGATGACAGCAGTACTGTCATGCTACGGTGTAACAAATTCGAGAGCAAATGCAAGTTTTATGGCATGTCACTATGATCTGCAACATACTGACCATTAACACTTACAACTTTTTGGGGGGCAGTCTTACTGCAAATCTCACCTTACATATAATTAAAAGGTCCTCAGAAGAAGTAATTGGGAATGCATGTTATTCCTTTGTCTCAACTACAACACTTTTATGGACACACACACTAAAAAAAGTTTTCTTTTTCTTTTTTTCTTCTTTTTTTTCTCTCTTTGGAACTTATGCAGCACTCCCTCAGTCCCTCAGCAAGAGCGCACTCTCTTCTTTTCTCCCTCTTTGTTTGTCTCCCTACTCACTTACCGAAGCCTTCTTGTAGGTCTCCAGGTGAATGGAATGCATACAAAGAGAAAAAGAAAAGGTGCCTACCTACAAAGAACAAGAAAAACTCAAAGAGCAAAAACAAATAGGTTTCCCTTGAAACTTACATTAGATAAATTGAATTTTCTTGCTTGTCTTTTACCATCCTCATTAGTGTTAAACATACAGCTTTGCAGAATCGCAATGAAAAACAAATGCGAGACCCTTTTTGTGTGGGGATAAAATTTGCTCTTACACTGGTTTAACTTCTTTACTTCACAAAATCATTAAGAGACATTGGGGGTCTTTAATGTCGTATTTTTATCACGACTATTTTACAATTTAAAAATAATTACCATTTTCCTTTTAGATTAGAATTCATGAGGCAGTGGTAATTATTTGCATTTGGAAATAAAAACTATCTAGTCTCTGAGATTTAAATTGTTGCCCCCTACTAAAGTGGTTTTTTCCCAACCTTAGGCAATACATTTTAATTGGGAACATTAATAGAAGAGTTTTTTTTTTCTTCAAATATCAAAATTTTGTCTTATATACTCCCCATCTTTCTCTTTATGTGCGCGTGTGAGTGCACCCATGTGTGTGAGCTTTTCAATAAGACACATGGTACTACCAAGTTTGTCTCTGTGCCAAGGAGCCATGCTGTCCATTTTTGGTGGGGGTTTTTTTGTTTTTGTTTTTTAAAAACAAACAAACTATGTGTACTTTGAGAGGTGTCTGTGTACACATAGTTTGTTTGTTTTTGCAGACCAAGTGAAGTGAAGTCAAATCAGGCTTTTTTAAATAGTCTTATATGACTACCACCTATAACAGACCCACAAGAGGAATCGTTTCGATTCAGAAAGTCACACAAAAATACAAATTTCCAGAAGTGAAAGGATGACAAGTGGCCAAGGAAAACTGGCACTAGAAGAGCAACTGGGTGTGTATTGGAATTTGAAAAAAAAGAAAGAAGTGACAGTCTGTTAATACCAATACAATTATAATTGCTCTGGTAGTAATACAATAATTCTAATAAATATAATAGATTCTCCATAAGAACTTCAATTAAAACATCCAAATATATGCAGTGTCACTACTTTATGTTAGTCATGTAGGTGGTAGGTTATAATTAATAGATATGTGCTCGTGTATTAACAACAGTCCGGACAAGACACATCAATAAAAATGAATCGATTAAATCTGTGAACAATATTCATGAGAGAGTTGCCTCGCTAAGTGTGTTTCGGTGATTTTATTACATGTCATAGAGCCCAAACTCCCCATATTGCTTACTCTCTGTCACCCCTGGCAACGCTTTTGATTGGCTGCTCCGCCATCTGCCTTCCCACCTGCAACTTTGTCTTTATTTAGCAAGTATGGGTGTGGTCCTCCTAATCCTCATTTGACTGGCAGCAGGGGAGGACCTCTCATACCTGGAAGTCCCTCCTGGCATGGGCTTTCATTGGTTATCTCCTAACCTGCTGGAGTGCCAAATGCCAGCTCATTTTAAGTAGCAGATGTGTGTGTGTGTGTGTCACATAATCCCCATTTGACAGGCAGCATGAAAGGGCCATTGCTAGCTGGGGCTCCCCCAAGGGATGCTTGCCCATTGGCGATTTGCCATCTGTCTGCTCACCTGTCCCCCATTCAAGCTCAGCAGATGGGGGTGTGATTCAGGGAAATTCACGATGACTGATAAGCAGGAATAGGCAAATCTTGACCCCAAGTGGTCCGCGTGCACTGAACCATATCTTGGACCAGATGAATAGGTGACAAGGGTTTCAGTCTCTCGTGGGGCTTCTTGTGTTTCGCACCTCTTTCAAATGCACAAGCTGCTCCTCTGAAGTCAAGTTCCACAAGTATTTGTATGCAGCACACTGGTGAAATGACAGTTTGTGTGATCTCATGTACAAAAGGTCTGTGAAATGATTAAACTCTCTAAACCAGTTACATCCAGCATTGCGTTTATAAATATCTCTTTTCTCTCAGAGATAGAGCGAAAGCCTGTTGGTGTGATGCTCTCCCATCCCTGGCCCAAACATTTGTCTTCATCAAGCTCAGAGTGTCCAATAAGAGTTAATGTGATTGCTCACGTTATTATGTGGGGGGGGGGGGCAGATTTCATAGCTGTGTTTACCTCGTCTGCTCAATGACAGAGCAACTGGAATGATTCAATTACACCAATAAGATTGGATAATGATTTTGATGTGGGTTCCTTCTGCCTCGAGTTTCTTATCGCTTCCTACCATCTCCCCCCTCCCTCTCTACCTTTATTTTTTTTTCTACTCCATAGTGTTGTCATTTTTTTTTCTCAAGTTTTCTCTGCATACTCATACATGTTTTGGAAGTTTTTATTTAGCATTAAGCATGAGTTTACTCATTACACTTAAGAAAAAGTTGCCTATATTTACACTGCACTACTAATTCAAGGGAAATTGGCCCCTTTGCATTGAGCTGCCCTTTTCCTTCTCTACTTCTGTCAGCATCTAGCTATCAGCAGCTTGCAGTGGTGGGGGTTGTGTAGGTGCAGTTTTATTTTCTGGCTGTCATATTCACTCTGGGTTATGGGAAGGTGACAGGCCATAGTCATTACTGATCCACAATAGCAGATACCTAAAGCAAGTCCCAGACTACACTGCAGCAGACTGCAGACTGCCTCTGTAAGAGTGAAAATATAGTAATGTGCAAAAATCTTCAGCCACCCCTCATTTCTATATATTTTGCTCCCACTGACCAAAGTGCTACAAAATAAAAGTACGCAGAATAAATAAATAGATAAACATAAAATAAACAGAATTGATACTAAAACGCAAAATAAAAGCATCAGTAGAATACAAGATAGGATTAAACATGAGTGAAACAAAAGGATAAAAAAAAGAATAATATACAAACTGCGTTAAACGCCAAGCCGAAGACGTGGATCTTAAGAACGAATTTTGAAGATTAGCAGTGAAGAGGCCCGTCTAATAAGAAGCAGCAATGAATTCCACAATTTGGGAGCTGCTATGGCGAAAGCCCTGTCCCCTCTGAGCCTCTGCTCCTCGGCACATCCATGAGCAGCTGGTCAGCTGAGCGACGGGGAAGGGCAGTGCAAGTGCAGCAGCTCAGAGAGGTAGGGCGGGGCAAGGCCATTTAATCACCTAAAAAACAAATAAAAGAATTTTAAAATGAACTCCGAAATGGACAGGCAGGGAGGATAAAACAGGGGTAATATGCTCTCTTTTCCGTGGTCCAGTTAAAAGTCAGGCTGCAGCATTTTGCACCAGCTGAAGACGACACCAACATATAAAGAATTACACTAATCCAACCGAGTTGTGATGAAAGCATGGATTTATGTTTCAAAGTGACTTTTCTGCAGAATGTTTTTTTATTTTTGCCAGTTGTCTCAGCTGACAAAAGCTGGATTTCACCACTGGATTTCTATCCTAAATAGATATTCCAATTCAAAAATCAATACAAAAAATAGAGGGGAAACACCTTAAATTGAATGTTGCATGGGACGTGCAAGAATTTTTAAGCTATTCCTTTTCATAAACAAGTAAAATACTTACTGCCAGAGGAATTGGATTGAAAAAATAAATAAATAAAAATAAATCAACAAAAGCAAACCCACTTCAAAGAACAAAACTGAGGATCAAATGTTCAAACTTCTTGCAGTAATTAAATTACCTCATGAAGCACATCACAAGCGACAAACCACGCAGTGGCGTTTTTAATGTTCTGACGTAGCGATTTCTCTTTGTAAACCGCAAGAAACGATTGCCTTTAATTACAATATTGTGCATGCGTGTAACTGTATAAATGCTTTTATATTTTACACAGTGTGTTTTAGACCGCGTACGTGCTCTGTCGTGGTTTGAAATTTTATTTGAAGTTCAAACTGGTTGAAGCCTTTTTAAAAACTTGTGTACAAACATATTACCACTGTCTGTTTAATACAGCATTCACACCGAAGCCTTAAGGAGAGCTTTTGCCTCGTCGCTCCTGTCTGTTGTTTATCTACTCTTCTCTATATCGACTTCTATTCTTTCTCTGTCACTGATGTTTTTCAGAAGCACAGTGCATTTCCTGTAACATGCGACTTAAAATTTATTTTAAATTCGGGACCATTTCTCCTTACTATTACCAGAATACGTGATTCCATCATAAACTTGGTTGTTGTATCTCAAACTTGCCAACACTGGACTTTTCTGAATTCTGCATGGTGTGATTTAATCCTTTCATCTTCTGACATGCTGCCTGTGATCGTTGCTCTTTTCAGGACCATGCAGAGATTAACTCCACTATCCTGCGGAGCCAAACTAACACAGCGCGTGTGGAGGCCCTCAGGCCGGGTACAGTCTATGTGGTACAGGTGCGCGCACGGACTGTGGCTGGCTTTGGCAAATACAGCAGCAAGATGTGCTTCCAAACCCTCACAGATGGTAAGGATTGCAGAGCCAGGAGAAACAGCTCTCCTTCCCTCTCGCTCTATCCTTCTCTGTCTCGTTTGTTTCGTTTCATGCACAATAGCTCTCTTTTTTTTCTTTTTCAGACGTTCTTGTCTTTGTATTTGTTGTTGCATTATTATTAGTAAGTGAGATAGAGGAGAGGCATAATGTTTGATTGCGCTTCCTATTTCTACAGCTAAATTAATTTCCCTCACAGTCAGGTTTGAGTGTGTGTGGGTGCTTCGGATACGTTGAACACCGAGTGTCTTTTGTTTGTGCAACTAACTGTGCTTGATCCAAAATGCTTAGCTAATTGGTTTTTCACCCAGCCCTTCTGTTGCTGGAGAGTTGTCCCAGAATGCGTAGCTGTGATTAGTAGTTGATGAGAGAAATTTTCTGCCATGCATGGCGGGGGGTTGTTGGAGAGAGAAAGGGCTGAAGATGGGCGGTAACACCTGGTGAACTGGCAAGGCTGGGGTTCATTTGTGTATGTGCAGGAAGGCGTGCTTGCAAAGAGTTGATAGCTCTGCCAGGCAGTTAAATTGTTGGAAAATCACATGGCTCAGTCAAGATGTATTCTGCTGGGTTTTCATAAGCGCAAGGCAACAAAAATAGCAACAAAAAGAAAGATATGAACTTATAATTGCCTTTCCTACGTTTTTATGTTCTGCATAAGATTTCCACTCTTTGTACCGTACTTGATGGCTAGCCTACAATGCTTATTTGGCCATAATTCAAAATACATTAAAGACAGGAGTGACATTTCCAGACTCGCTGTTAAACAGCAAAGATTACAATGAATGAGATGGTGATGATCTTGAGGGAGGGGAAGATGGGAAGCATGATGATGGTAATTAAGCCAATCATTGTGGCTATTTACCTGTGTGCAGAGCAGATGTGGCACAGTCACTGCCCCATTTACTCTCCCCAATAGTTCCGCATCAGCTTTCCTTGCGTATGAAACCATACTAGTGAATGTGAGCACTAGAGCTGGGCGATATGAGATTTTTTCATATCACAATATGTTTTTTTCATTTCAGGCGATAACGATATCTATCACGATATAAGCCAAATAACTATATTTGTAAGATTTAAATGTGCCGTTGCTCAGAAGTAAAATGTGAAATAATCAGCAGCTTGTTTTTATTTAAATATTTATTTCCCATAATAAGTTCAACAGGGTAGATGTACTTAAGGAACATGAGACTTTTTCAGATAAATAAAGGCAAATATTGCAAACTACACAAAAGGCAGCCGCTAAAGCGTTTAAGTTTCAAAATAGAACAAACGAAACAGACTAAATTGTCAATTCCACTTAGAAACAAAATATTAATTCTAAAAATAAATCTTAGCTTGTGTTACAGAAGAACAGACAAAACTGACTAACTTTTGTCAGTATCAAATAAACTGAGAACTAAAAGGAAATTCTCAATCTCTCCTTGTTGTATAGCTGAGCTTTTCAAACAGTTTTAACAGTTACTTTAGTCTGACAAAAGCCGAATGACGAATTAGCGCTTCCAGTCAGAGACTGAGGCTACGTCCACACGTACACGGGTATTTTTGAAAACGGAGATTTTCCATTTTCGTTTTAAAAAATAATCCCGTCCACACATAAAGGCAGAAATGAAGGAAAATGCTGCTATGAACATGCCAAAGCAGCAGGTGGCGCTAGATTCCTAACCGTGCAGAAATGTTGGCCAATCAGAAGTCTAGAAGCCTCGGTGGGAAAAAGTAAACAAAGCTGGGGCATAGAAGCAGAACCGAGTCGTATGTGTGGAGGGACAGTAACTGTGTGTATATGTAAGCATTTAAACACTGCAGAGAGTAGAATTAACAGTAACAGTATTGTAGAAATTCATTTCACTGAAACAATAACGTGGTGCACAGTGTGACGCATGCACCAGTTTATTGTATTTCCAGACTTGCTTTCGGCACAATTTACAGTGCACGCTACTCTGTTTTTTGTCAGACTTGAAATAGCCGAAATACCTTCACACTACGGAGCTTCTATGGCTCTTCCGTTCGACAATCTCTCCGGCATTGGAACCATCATCAGTTTTCTCTTCGGTCACGCTCGGTTGATTTTTCTAGTCGGCACACTCATTTCCTCCATTACCCGCTGGCTGCTTCCCAAACAAACACACGTGCGGCTTGGCACTTGTGCTGTACATAACAAGTCACGCGACGTGACGCTGCGGCTGTGATTGGTTCGGCTCTGCGCTACTTAATTTGGATTGGCTGACCTTTTTTTTTTTTTTTTTTTTTTTTTGAGGACAAGAGCGGCGAGGTCTATCGCGATAGCGTAATTTCTCTATCGAGTAAAAGTTATATCGCGATACATATCGTTATCGTTCTATCGCCCAGCTCTAGTGAGCACATACATGCGCATACTTGATGCTCGCCCACACCAGCACAGCTTAGGGTTCATCTGCTGGCTGGCTGCCACAGCACGGCATTTGTCGAAGCAAGCAGCAACACGCCAGAGGACTGCCGGCAACAACACCCACATCTCTGCCGCCTCCGCCTCTACCAGCCCCCCCCCCCCCCCCCCCCCCCCCCCCCCCCCCCCCCCCCCCCCCCCCCCCCCCCCCCCCCCCCCCCCCCCCCCCCATCAAACCTGCTTCATTGCCCCATGAAGACAATAGAGGCACTCCACGTCATTTTTCGCAAAACATATAATCTCCTGTCTCTTCCCGTCAGCACGTTTTCATTCACCTCCACGAGGTGTCATTTTGCCACCAGTGGATGCGCAAACACACAATCAAACAAATCAAAAGCGACGGCGCAAAGTAAGGTGTGACGGAAAACAAGTGATTGGAGTATTGGTTATGTGATTGATGCCACAATTCTCTAATTGGCTGAGGCCTCGAGAGTTAACTGATTGTAATGGGAGCGTATTTGCTGTTAGAAGAGGTGTCTCTGTGATTTTTGGCTGTCAAGAAAAGTCAACATTCTCGTATGGGCGCGTGGTGGGCAGGTGGGGGGACCTCTCACATCTAATATACACTGAAAGAGAACAAGAAGACTACCCTAAAAGTTTGAGTAGCTGGAACAGCATTCTTACTCTTTCCTTGATTCCTTCCTTTGATAAATGTGTGAGTTGAAAGAGTGAGCAATTCCTGTCACATCCAGTTTCCACATATACTGCAGCTTTCACACTGCTTCGAAGATGCATTAGTTCTCACTTTATCACTTTAATCCAATGGGCCCATTCTACACGGGGGATTGGATTTAGAAGCTGCTGATTTGCCTGCAGCATGCTAAATCGTGCATTGCTTTAACTACAGTGTCTGCTGATGCCAAAGTCACAGAAAGACATGCTCGCAAATAGATAACCAAAAGATTCTGCTGTGTGGTATTTTTAAGCAGGCATTTATTCTGTCCCCTGAACTACCACAGTCAAAAACATGTTTGGGCTATATGTGCGTGATTGGCAGTGGATGACTTCCTTTCAACACCATAGAAACAACATTCCTAGGTGCATTTTCTTGTCCGCGCCTTTCAGACAGCTATAGCAACAGAGAAGGCGAGCTGCCCTCCTCGCTCTTTCTCACAACCAGCTTTATGATTTTTCTCTCACTCTCTGTCTCTCTTCTGATTTATCAAACACCACCTGTCTGTCAGTCTTTCAAATGCTCACAGGATTCCAGTCAGCACATCTCAGCAGAGAGATCTCTGTGTTTCCTTTATCCACCAGTAAACTCAGTCTAACCATTCTGCTCTGCCTTTTCTTCTCCTGCCAAAACACATGCATAAGTACACAGCACCACATAAACACAGACATGCTTCTCATGCCTTACCTAAGCCTTTCTCACTGCTTGTCTGTCGTGTCTTTGTGCAACCCAGATGACTTCAAGTCTGAGCTGAGGGAACAGCTTCCTCTGATTGCGGGGTCAGCAGCAGCAGGAGTGGTCTTCATTGTTTCCCTTATTGCTATCTCCATTGTTTGCAGCAGGTAACCAGATTTTCCTTTATCTTGTCTTTTGTAATACACTAAGAAGATGTTGAAAAATGTGTCACATCGTTCAAACTGTAGATTCTTTTCAAGCTCCCAGTTTGTTTTGAAGGAAGTTGGAACTGCAAAAAATATACACATAGGGCATAAACCATTCGGTATGCCACGTTGGTTCTCATTGTCGCTAATAATACGTACTAAAAAATCCAATAGGTGGCAACATTGCAGGTAAAATTCCACCAGACTCTCAGCATATACGGTTTGTGTCATTTGCTGTATTAATTATGTAAAAATAAAATTCAGTGGTGCGTAAGATTCCTAAAATTCCTGACATTTATTGTAATCTTCTGTAAAAACATTTATGAAACATAACTGGTGCTGATTATGCTTTGGAACTTATCGTGTAACGTGCCCTACATGTAGTCACATATCATTTATTAGTGCAGCAAGACTATCACTTGATTCAATGACAGGCATACTGAATAGTAAAGGCACGCACGAATTTGATGGAACGGGAAAGCAAAATTGTCATTTGAAATGGAATACTCAATTCCTTAGAGAACTTAACATCTTCTACTTTGCCCCGTTAAGCCAATTTCATTTTGCAGCGGTTTGTCACATTGTCACATTCACATCTTGCTCCACTTTAGATATATGAAAGTCAAATTTTCTGCAGGGCTGTGTGCAAGTTTGAGCAAGTAAAGTGTTCATCAAATGGGCCAGGCTCTTTTGATGCTGAGGCAGAGGAGACAGATGAAAAGGAGTGAGATCCTATCAAGGTCTAATTAAAAATCAGCTCATTTTCATAAACTTCATTTGCCATTTCTAACCCTTTGCAGCTGATTCAATTTCAGCCACGTCATTTTCAGCCGGTACACAAAAACACCAAAAGTAATAAGATCATGTTTACCTCTTTCATCTTGGCACCCCTCCCCCTCGCTCTCTGTCTTTCCTTTCCCAACACTCATTGCATCGTTATAGGAAAAGAGCATATTCCAAGGAGGCGGTGTACAGTGACAAGCTGCAACATTACACAACAGGAAGAGGTGAGTCTGCTCTATTACTTACAGCTGCTCTAAGTTACTGGTTAGTTACTATCTATCTATCTATCTATCTATCTATCTATCTATCTATCTATCTATCTATCTATCTATCTATCTATCTATCTATCTATCTATCTATCTATCTATCTATCTATCTATCTATCTATCTATCTATCTATCATTTCCTTTTCCTCTACTGTTGGACTATAATTAATAATGTAAGGCATTTAAAATGAATAATAATGCATTAAAGATATGGAAAATTTATGTAGCAAGTGTCTGTGGTTCTACTTTTCACCGTGACATTGACTGACATCTCTTAGGGCTGCACGATAGCCATGACTGAGTTGTGTTTTAAGCACTCCCTGGGCATTGACTGATCAGGGGAAGTAGCCTGCAGGGACACACATATAACCTCTGACAAACACTCAGTCACACATGCACAAAAGAAATGTGTGTAAATTGGTGCGTCAAAGAAAGCCTTATGTACTGCCAACCTAGCAGTCTGAGAAAGGGTTTACTCAAGGGGATTGAATTTTGTTGAGCCTGACACAGCAAATGGCTTCAACACAGTTACTTTGTGTCAAAGCTACGAGAATGGTAGCTTGGGGCTTATTAAAACTGCTCTGGACAGAGGAGTCAGTTTTGCCACAGTCAGGGATGCACTGTAATTAACATAAGTCATGAAAATAAAAGATAACAGTTGTTTGCGGCCTTAATTATCAAATGAAGGATCTAAGGTGGATACAAAATCAAATGCTAATAAGGAAACCTTCACAATGCCAACGCACACGAGGTTTTTCCCCACCCTGTGATGCATTGTTGTTTTTTGCTTTTCTGTCAAGGTTTGACTGGCAGTTTTGTAATTGCAGTATTCAGTGCAGCAATAAAATAGACCAACTCAAACAATTGCTTTGGGTGATCCTCCAAAAAAATGTGCCTGCCAGCTTTCACCCAGCTGTCAGCTCCTCCAGATGTTGCCTCATAATATCGCCTCATTTGCAGCCCACCTCAAGACAGACGTTGCTAATACTGTAAATTCAGTGGTGCAGCCTGATGGTCATGCTTATGCAAGAAATCAGACCTTTAACATTACACCAACTCCTGCTTGTGATGTTCATGTGAACACAAGTCAAATGCTGCTGCTGTGGCTTAAAGCGATCACCCCATCAGATTCAGTGGTTGTTGTCATGTACAGTATCATCACTGTGTACACTGTTTAAGTTAATTAAGTGGATTTATTCAATGGTTAAAACTATTTTGCAGTTTTCTCTTTCAAAACAATCAAAAGATCATTTCTGATTAAGTTGCTAAAATATTTATTAACCTGTGTTTTTGGGCAGTTTGAAAGGTTGGATTGCATCTGTGAACTGCCATCATCAGGCCTCTCCACAAAGTTCTATTTTGTCTAAGTATGACCTTTGGCTGGGCTACTCATGGTTTGCATTTTTTATTCTAATTTGACTCATACTTATTCTTCCTTTCTTCCATTCAGACCAGCGTTCCTATAACAGTTCCCAAGAAGCCACCACACAGCACTGTGTTGTTATCTCCATAGCCATAGACATGTTATTAGACAGGAAATCATGCCATAGTGCTTGGAGTTCTACCCACTCAGTTCAATTTCTGTCTCATCAGATGAGATAAACTTATTCCTGATGCTGCTGGATGCATTTAACTGATGTTCAATAATCTCAAAGCAGCTGTCATATGGCTTAGACTCAGACTGGCTTCTTTTCAGCCCCCAAGACCTAAAGACATGATCTCAGTGCTTCTACTGAGATGATGATCCTACAGCAGGTTTCCCAGGTTTCTTATCTGCAGCAGACCTCCAAGCCTCTGCTTGATTGATCAGTGGGTTCTTTCTGAATAAGGCCCTTCTCCCTCTGTCTCAGTTTGGTCAGACATTTCTAAGAATAATCTTGCTGGTTCCAAAATTATTCAATTTCATGATTATTAAGGCCACTGTGTTCCTTGGAGCACTCAGATTTAAAAATGGGTTGATATTTGCCTCCACATATGTCTAGCCACAGTTTTGTCACAGGGGCCTGCTGTGTTCCTGTGACTCCATGGTTCAGCTTCTGTCCTGACATTAAGTGTGCTACTAGGACTTCATGTACTCCTTTTGCACATATTCCTAAAAACATGTCTTAACAGCATTATTGGGAGTTACCAAGCGTAGAATAAACATTAGAATTCTATACTTTTATCTCCTAATTAAATCTATAACAGTATATAAAAAGTGAAGGAATCATAGAAGTTCATTACTGCACTGCCATGCACTCAGGTCCATGCACTAAGTATTTGCAGATTCTCTCAGGGAAACATTTCCTTTTAGCCTTTAACTCACACCGACAACCCATCTAAACAAATTAACAGACATTTCTAAGTACTAAATGTCTGTGTTGTGCCCTCATGTTTCCACATGACTACCAACAAATTTTAAATTACAAATGTTCAGACCGTACTTGTTGCCCCGTAGCTGCAGATGTTATTTGCGCTTCAACATCTGGTGCTCACACCCGATGACAATGGAAACTCACTGAAAAGAACTAGTTAATTATGGGTGGATATAAAATATGCTTATACTCCTTTTTTTTCTTGCATATTTCCTTTATATGTGCAAGTTCACTCTTCATCCTAAATATGTTAAAATATTATAATTAACAGGGTGAACCTTTCATCACTTTTCAAACTTTTCAAGGAAAACCAAAAGAGTTGCAAAAGGCCTGAAAAAAATCCCCACAAACATTTCACTTTCTTTTTTTAGTGACTCCATACAAAATGTAGATCTCTTATGTGCATACTAATAAGCCCCAATAAATAATAAGTGTGTGTTTGACAAATACGTTTCTGACATCAAACAATGGATAATTAGTTAATATTCAGGACGGAAATGCAGCTCATTATATTTAGAGCCACGGAGTAGATTAGTGTGCATCTTAGACCTACATAAAACACTCTAGGGATATATTGCTCTGCACATAAATCACATAAAGTATTTAAATGCTATATAGTGAAATCACAAATATTGTCAGGCAAAGGGAATTAGAAGAAATTATGTTTCCTTGGTGACAGGCTAATGTATGAAACATTCCCTTTTAACTTAAAAAGATGAGCATTTATGGAGCTACTATTTCATTCGCAGACATTTTTGTTTGTCTTTGGGCAATATATAAAGTGTTTGTAGTAAAACCAGTAATCTGATTGTAGCCATTGCCAGTAATAGATTAATGTAAGCATTACGGCTCTGCAGTTGATTTGTGGATACATTAGGACCATTACGTAAACGACCGGGACAGACTAATAGCAGGCTAAATTTTGGACATTGGTGAAAATAACATGGTTAAGTGCATTGCAGTACACTGTAACTTATTACGCCTGCCAGCTAATAGAAATGAATAGAATCAACTTTATTGTCCACCAGAGTGGAAATTTGTCTGAGTACACTTAACCGTTTGGACAATTATGTCATAAACTTTGTTCTAATTTATTATATTAATCTAAGCTTTATATCTGTTGTGGTACGCACGTGTCCGTGAGCCACTGTGGCAGCCTTGGATTCTTTCCTGACAGAGTTGTTGTTTTATATGTTGGTCCAAAATAGAAATGACTTCTGGATACATTTGCTTCGTACTCTCAGATGGAGAGCCTATGAAATATTAAAGTAGGAATCCATTTTTTATCCAGTGGCCATAAAAAGACGAGTCCAGTTAACCAGGGCTGTGCCACAGGGAGGACGATAAACTGTTTGCATTTTAAATTATACATAAAAATGGGCTATGGACTGTGAATTAGAAAGTAATGGCTGTACATTTATTTTGGAGGTATGTGCACACAAGAGCTTGAGATTTTGAGTGTGAGCGTGCTGCCATAAGCTTGCTGTTGCGTGCTCCCCACTGAGATTTTGAGTCCTACCCAGTGGTGCCGCTAAGTGAGCAGCTTGGCGACATTTGTAAATCGAATGACTTTATGGAATGCAAAGCTGTAAACCCTCTGATGGATTAACTTGAATCCAGTCTGTATGGAATCTCTAATGAGCAATTACACTCACACAGACAGGGTTCAAAGCAATTAGTGTGGTAACTAGAATCAGCTTCTAGTCAAGAGCAAGGTGAGGCACCTTGATCCCAGGACTAGACCCTATTCTCTTTTTGTCTCCTGAGACTCCTCCCTCCTTCTCTGTGGCTTATGCAAAGGGCTAGGCACAAATTGACTTGATGGAGATGGGTTTATTCCAATCATGGCTGCAAAGATTTTGCCTAAACAGCTCTGAGAAAGAAGGCTGCCCTTGGGTGTAGCTGCAAAAATGATGATTTGAAGTCTACTTGCTCGCTGTCCATCTTGTGGCAGCATATTGAATTTGTTTACAAGTGTTTTACTTAGCCTGTCGGCACAGAAAAGCTGTACTTCTTTTTTTGCAAACATCACCAGTCTGTGAACTGGTCTCACCTACTGTAGAGTGGCATAAAAAGCTAGTTGATAGCGTAGCGGCTTTATCTCTTTATGAGCTCCTATAGGGAAAGATTGCAGGAAAATTGGTTCTACCACTATCAAAGAGCAGATACTGCTAGGGTAAGGGATAAAGGGGTGAAAAAAAAGTCTACATTTACTCTTTCTATATTCCCTCATCTGTTCCTTTATCCCTTAATCTCCCTCCCTCTCTTTGTCTCTCTGTCTCGTTCTCTCTCTCTCTAGCTCTTTTCCTCTCGTAAGCACTGAATCACCACCATTTTGTTGTCTGCCTCTACATGTTTTGGAGCCAGTTCCTTTAATTCTCCACCTACACTCTTTGATGTGTTCAGTACACGTTCATTTTAATTTACACATTGCCGTGCTTTGGCCCGTCTCTAAGCATGGATAATAGAGCAAATGAAGGTATCATCATTTGCAGCGATCAAAAGTTTATAGTGATTATAAGTAATGCTGTGACTCTGTGATTTAAGCTAACACTTGGGGGTTATTTGAATTCACCAACCTTTAGCTCAAGACCCCAAAAGACTAGTTTCATCTTCTGGAAAGCTCACTGAGCACTTTGGTTGTTCTAGAACTCTCATTGCGAGCCGACATGTCTAACTGCCCCTCCCCACTGGGCTGCCCGACCCACTTCTCAGGCTCTCCGGGGATGAAGATCTACATTGACCCCTTCACCTACGAGGACCCAAACGAAGCTGTACGAGAATTTGCCAAGGAGATAGATGTTTCTACTGTCAAAATAGAGGAGGTCATTGGTGCAGGTATGGCAAATCTTCGTGCATGCATGCTTTTGTATTCTGTGTCTGTGTGTCAGATAAATGTGGATTGTTGAGTTGTTGTATGTCATATAAAAACCTGAATCTGTTCAAGGTCATGAAGAACAACCTTTCTGGCAGCCACTTCAGATGGGAACATGTCAAGGGCCTATGTCAAGTGTACTAGCAGTATATAGGCCACCTACCCAGGGACATAATGTCATTAGAAATAACTCAACCCTCTCTGCCTTTTCTTTGTGCT